GCTGCCGACACTGAGTGGGTCTTGCGACCTTACCAACGAACCGCAAGGAAACGCGATCGCCTATAGGAGAATGTATTTCTTGTGAGTTTGCGAATTAACGCGGGGTGTATTTTCAGAAAATTAACTCCGATCTCCTTTTCATTAGTCTCATTCGCTCAACTCTTTTAAAGTAGATAGGAAACTGATGAACCTGTCTAAATCTTCACGCTGGTGCGGGTACCAGTACACCATTATCGCTGTACTTTGCCTTTATAAATGTACACGTAATTTTGTCTTCTAAGTGATATTATTTATAAATTTCATCGTTTATGAAAATATTTGGGAATTACCTTAAAAAAGGTGTATGATAAAGTGACAGTGTCAACGTCCTTCATCAATGGATCGTCAGCAAACTCTGGATCAATGAAAAAGAATACGGGCATGTCAACCTCTTCTCCTGCTTCCAACTTCTGCTCTTCAAAACAGAAGCACTGTATTTTATTAAAGTAAGGGGCCACCTTAAAAGGTGTCACGTTATAGGTAGCTATGCCTATGAGATCCTGGTTTGATTTGTTCTTTGCCGTGTAGAAAGCAAGAGCGGTTTCACCTGGCAAAACTCGTACTTCCTGTTGTTGAGGTGTGAAGGACCATTGAAGGGTCCTTGAAGTATCCGCGTTAAAGGTGACCTTAATCTTTCGAGAGTTTTGTGCTGGGACCAAGCGATCCGAGTTAAATTTCGAACTACCAGCCATCAGTGTTCCTCCAAAACCTGTTGTCTGGCAGAACATTCGATACAAAGGAACTGACGCGTACGTCACGCCTACTCCAAAAATGAGCACGGCCGCGGTATACATTAAAAAGGATTTATTCCTCATTGAATAGTTTTTGCCGCGGTGAGCATAAAAATTTGCATTATTGGACGCAGTAGTCTTGGTGGTTATGCCAGAAACTCTCGAACCCTTCGTACAGAGACTAAAGTAGACATTTCGGTTCGTTAAATGGTTAACCAAGACCTGGTGATAATGAAAGCATTAGCATCCTACGAGAAAGGAAAACCAAGAGTATCCTGCTAACCAAAAAAAAAAAAATTACCACGTTCCTAGATAATCCGTTGTGTAAAAGAACAGAATTTTGTATATTCAGCCGAACCTTAGAAAAAAAAAATCTCATCGCTCGTAAACGCATTCATACTAAGAATGAGAGATATGATTATATTCTGATTGTGCGACATTAAGGCATATTTCGTACAACCTGAAGAATCTCGATCTACGACGGTGTTATAAATCATTCCACAGTTCTTAATAGTCCTCTGTTTTTTCCGTTTCTCTCCACTGTTGGCTATGAGTATCCGCTTTATTTCTCCCGGCGTGAAGAATGGTCTTTACGGTTCCTTCAGGTGTTATTCGACAACATCGGTTCGAAGGTTGGCCTCAGTGAGTACAGCCGCAGAGCCAACCACGAGGCCACTTTCGGCTGCTGGCGTATATGCCACAGGAGGTCACATTAGGAACGACTGGACGAAGCGAGAAATACAGTCTATCTATGATTCTCCTATAATGGATCTTTTG